AATAATAATATACCTATTTGGTATGCAAGGCCAGAAAAACCGGAGCAACCGGGACCTCCGGTGAGCCAAAGCACCAGGGGGTCTTCCTTGGGACTCCTCTCCGACTCAATGAAGTAATAAAATAGCTGCACATCATCCAAATCGCCCACCCCCACATACCTTTATTTCTTTCATATCAATTAGTCACTCATAGTGGGAACAACTAGTATTTATGTGTATAATACGAAAAAAAATTGATTACACCTGAGATGGTGATGATAATAGTTGAAAAATTATTTACCCGGTTTCAAGTTTAAAGGGGAGTTCACCGGAAAAGCCCGGTAGGGTGTCGATGGTGGATTTTGATGCAACAATAATGTGACTGTTGAGGAAGACCAGAAGAAGTGCTAGCGGCAACATGGTGATGACGCTCTTGAGATGTTGAAGGTCTGACAGAAGGAGACCCTGCTCTCACAACGATATGTAGATGATCAAAACATGTGGTTCGACAGACCAGTAGGTGAAATAAACTCTTTGACTTTTTCCGTTTAGGGTCAATGTATCGTTTACCGTTTTTCATAAATATACAAATACCTAGACACATATCTATGGAGAGGGGTTTAGAGCCATTTAAAAAAAAAAGAAAAAAAAGAAAAAAAAAAAAGGTCAAATAACTATGATAGTGAGTTTCACAAGTATTTTTTTTTTTTGGTCAATAGTTTCACAAGTATAGGCATAAATGACATGAATAAGAGAAAGTTTGGTGTGTTGTTCAAATTATTAATTAATAAATTTGGTGAAACTGCCCCCTTTTCTTTTTCATTTACTTTTGTACATATGGTAGGTGTTATTCTCATGTTCTACCTGTCGTACGAAAGATTATACATGAAGAACATGTGTTACATTTTTCTCATTGAAAAAAAACATGTGTTACACAAAAACGACAATGACACACAAAAACTCTTTTAAAATTTTTAAACTAACTTTCACCTTCCTTAGAAATTCATAAGTCTGAGTAGCTGATAATGTATCACTGATCTGGTATCATTGCCAACTTTTTGCATAGGAGAATCCACTACCAACAGGTTGATCCAAAAATATTATATTCGCAATCTGAACATTTTCCAATTAGAAATTTTGCCACTAAACTACATGAGTACATGGATTAATTACGTTATATTAATTAATTAATTACCTTTGTCCATGGGTATGGATTCAACACAAATGTTGGTTCGTTCCCACTAGAATTTGCGTAGTTGAACATTATTGGACCTACCCAAAACAAATCAAATTCAGGGCATAACAACTTTCGTTAAATATTAATTAAATGCAAGATCATTGATGTCTTTTATATGATTACAATTGTTTAATAGAGGAGATAATAAGGTTTTATAAAATTGTTAATGATTGGTATGACGACCATTCTTTGATGTAAATGACACTGTACCTATGGCTACCGTGCAGTCAACATCCAACTAATAATGGTTTAATATGGGAGCTGATTTTCCCACTCTTTTTTGGTCAACTTACACTCCCTCTTTGTTAGAAATTGTGTGTTCCCACTCGTTTTTTTGTCCACGTACACCCTTTTTTTTTTTTTTTTGTTATAGTAAAAGCTATTATCTCCTCAGCCCGATGAGTAGGCCTGGGCCAAGTTCTTTGAAACCTCAGCCCGACTTAAAAAATAAAAAAGCTCATGGCCCGACCCGAGCCAGCCCAATAACGAACCCTACCTACATGACAATTTGAAGGGTAAAATTTGATATTTTACTATATTTTGTACCCTCATCAGCCTGTTCAATTTAATTCATTCAGTGTTGAAATTTCTTTTTCTTTTAAATCAAACATTAATATATAATTCAGTTTAATAATATCAAATTAATATGTGGTTAATTACAGTTTAGTACCCTATAGTTATATCCTTAAGACATGTTAGTTCATATCTTCTCAATTTTTATAATTAGATACCCGATCTTTTCAATTTGTTACAATGTTGTTCCGCCGTTAGAGTTTTCTTCAAATCTCTCCGTTAGTTGCCTACGTGAGACTATGAATCCCACATTTTTCATTTTTTTGTTAATTTTAAATTAATTAAAATATTATTTTTTCGAAAAGAAATTGCAGAAAATGAGAAGTAAAAAAATCCTCCCCAACCTCCTGCGATTTTCTTCTCCCCCTCATTCCCCCATGACCACCACCCGCAGCCATCCTCCAACCCCTCCCCCACCCCCAAACGAACCCATAACCCCAGCCCCCCACCACCCACCCATAACCCCAGCCGGCAACCACCCATACCCCCTCTACCTCCCCTCCGATTTCTTCTCCCCTTGCCTCGACCCCAAACTCCAGCCCCCACCTACCAACCACAGCTTGCCGACCACTCTCTCTTCATCCTCCAGAGCTCGTTCCCGCTGTAGCCCGACGCTTTTCGCGAGATCTGACGGTCTGCATCTCTCTCTCCTCTCTGCTCTCTACCCATCTCTCTCTCTCTCTCTCTCTCTCTCTCTCTCTCTCTCTCAGCAAATAAAAAAACCAACATTGGAAAGAAAAAAAAAATCGTTGGATTTTAAATTTGGGTGTTTTGATTATTTTTAAATTTTTTTTTCTCAATACATAACTGTATAATTAGCGTTATAATTTGGTGTCACATAGTTGTGGTGAATGTGGTTATGAGAATTTTGGGTTGGTATTTGGGTTGGTAATTTGAATTATTGACTAAGGCCCCGTTTGTGATTGTTTTTTTTTTCTCAAAAAATCTACTTTACTTTAAAGTTAAGCAGTTTAAGGTGTTTGGTAAAAATAAAATATCCCGATTATTTTAAAAGCAGTGGCCTTTTGACAACAACTTTTCAAAGCTGCTTTCAAAAGAAGTAAAAATGAACATTTAATGAATTTTTTTAATTCCCAAAATACAATCATTCATTTTATAAAATGACACCACCTCCACTTCCACATCCAACTTCACCACTTGCACCACCACATTCACTACCTACACAACAACCGCCACCGCCATCGCCACCACCACCACCACCACATCCTCCTCCTCATCCTCCGCCACCCCCACCACAATTACCACCTCCTCCACCTCCATAACCACCAACTCCACCTTCATCACCACCACCACCTCCACTCCATCACAACCACTATCACCACATGATTAATACATAACACTTTCAACATCATGTCTATTTTAGTCATTATTCACAGTTACAACAATTTTATATTAAAATTTATCAAACGTTTTTTACACTGCTTTTTATACTAACAACACTTTAAAAATATTATTTACCAAACATGGAGTTGTTTTACTTTACAACTAATTATTTTCAAAGCACATCAGAAGAAACTTTTTTAAAAAGTGACAGCAATCCCAAACTGGACCTAAAGAGGGTAGTATGCCAACCACCTACTAATCATAGCAAAGCATTCTTCAGGTTTGTACTCTGGAGCTGTGTGACCCGCTCCCTGAGATATCAATTTAGTCAGCTTTTGCTCAAGAAAATTCTAGTATGGAAAATATTTAATTTCATAATGGTTCTCAAGCTTCTTGCCTTTATAGTTGCATATGTCAACTGGTACTTTTTGTATGTGTACTGCACTCTGTATCTAAAGACCAAAAAACAGAAAAAAGGAAGAAAAAAGGAATAACTATGAGATAATTGTAATCTGATTTTCTGACTAAACTCGATACAGAGTAAGGAAGAAGATGAGGTAGATACAAACCCCGCAACCTGTCCGTCGACGAACCAAGGCTTCCAATGACTGTCAACCGTCAAGTTCAGAGATTCTATCCAACCCATAGTACCCACATATGGAACATTCATGTCATGATCACCACTGTTAATAGACAAGCTTTGTGTTCAGAAGAAATGGTAATGTGAGAATGAATAGATTGTGTGAGATTCTATTAACAGAGGGCGCTAAGCCTATGTTTGAATTCATGTACTTGAATTTTCCCTCCAATTAGAAATCCAAATGGACTTTCTGCTTGGACTAAAACAAAAGAAAATTGGAAAGAGTTATCCGCATGCATATTCTACAATATATCAATATATATAGTACCTGTAAACCAAAACTCTATAGCCTTGTTTAATGAGGTTCTCATGATAGACAAGACTAGAGGAAACATCAGATATATAGAATTCTTGTAAGGTCTTATTGCATCTTTCCCATTCCTTAATGCTTCCCTGATTCTTTTAAAAAAAAAAAAAATGATGAGCAAAATTAAAGTACTGTGATATGTCATGAAAACCTGAAGAATATCTTTGGAAGGAACTAATTAATTACCTCCTGAATATGAAGAGCTTCTTGGACAGTTTTGTCATTTGCCCAAATATAAGAGAGGAGATATGCGTAACTCTGCATTAACACAAGGCAGATATGTGGACTCAAAGTTAACATTTAGTACAACAAACGCATATGAGTAAGCTACAACCTACAGATAAGTTACTGCTATACAGTGTGCAATATATGTGTGTGCCGGCGTGTGCAGAGAGACTTACCCGACACCATGGCCTACGAAGTTGAGGAAAAGAAAGGAGGAGATTTACAGAGTCCTTATTAGTGCGATCATCTGCATACCCCTTTGACTGCGCTGGTTTTGGCGAATGGACAGTACATACAGGTTCCAATATCTGTACATCATTTATGTCTTCGATACACTGCCAATCAAAATATGAAGTCAGTATTTTGATAGTACATTACTTAATAGTGACAAGTAGTTGTAGAAACCAAAGAATTTGTTTTCTTTCCACTCACCTCGTTGTAAAGTTCAAGATCATCCACACATAACGTGTTGTTTAGATCCACATTGATATAATCTCCCTTGCAGTTTATTTTCATTGACTTGCAAAACATACAAATCACAACCACATTTAAGAAAGACAATCTTTTAGCAAGAAATAAAGTGACTATGCAAGATCACCATATAACTTGAGGTAAAGATTTAGTCAGAATAGTTCAGAATGATTTGAAGAGCCAGAATCTAATCTCAACATGAAACCGACAAGAAGCGACAAAATCAGTGTGTATTTCACCTGGTATAGTTCCTCTGATATAAGTGCTTTCAGGTAAGCAAATAGAACTCTAGAATTGTCATCCTTTTCAGAATCTGTCAGTGGATTGCCAAGCACATATCCCTGCAGCCAATATATATGGAACATTATTGTCTGCCTACTTTTAAGGCCCACAGGCATATGATCTTCAATTAATTAACCATCAAAATAGAAATCATTCAAATTGTAATGGCAGAAAATGTACTTTGAGATTCATCGGTGGCGCATGTTCATCTTGATTACCTACATCAAAGTAAATAAACAAAATAAAAAGAACCTCAAATCAATACCTCATGATCCACACAACTAAGAAACTAACTATTTGCATGTGAGGCTGAATTAAAGGTTGCACGATTGACCCTTCTCTCAATTCCTGGTAGCTGAAGCTGAGAAAAGGTCAAATTTAAGAGGGTTACTTACTTACCATCTGATATTTCCTGAACGAGCATCGGAACAATTATGCCTGAATAAGAATCTCCGGCAATGTAAAGTGGATTATTGTAGAACTTGGGATGATCCATAAGCCACTGCACCACAACAGTGAAAACAAAGATGTAGCTAAACTGGATGCAGGAAAATAATGTTCATTTCCAACAACCAATCATGTCAATTTTTGAAAAAAACCATTCTTAATCACTTGAAAGATGATCATATGAACTAGAACTTATGCCGAAACCTCATAGACAAGTGCATCCTCTCACCTTTCTAAGAAATTGATATGTTTGTGCGGCTGATATTGTGTCATTGAGATTGGTATATCCTTCCCAGTTTTTTGCATATGAGAATCCTGTGCCCACAGGTGCGTCTAAAAATATTATGTTGGCAACCTGAAAGTTTTCGATCGTTCTTGTCAATGTCATAAGAACCTCAATAACTTGAAGGTTTCCACTTAAACACATCCACCTATAAGGCAATTGAAGCCTCCCACCTTTGTCCATGAATATGGATTCAACTTTAATTTTGGCTTGTTGCCAATGGAATGTGCAGAGTCAAAGGATAATGGACCTACAACAAAGTACGGATTAAATAGTGAGGCTAATTCTAATAATTAAAAGTTGGAACACAATATTTGTGCCAGATTACAACTAACACGGATTAAAAACTATAGAATTATAAAATAAAAAAAATATTTGGGTTGAAATACACACAATATACTTAAAAACAAACTTTTCATCAATAATATTTGGGTTGATTTTAAATTGGGGTGTACTGCTTCTGATGGGGACCTTCCTCTGTTTTGACGCTCTTGGGCCTGGCTAGTTGCTCTGTAGTTTCTGCTTTGACCCCAGATTACCCAATAAAGAAGAAGAAAAAAAAAACAGAGAAAACAGAGCGCACACTTTTTATCTTTGTCCACACTCCAAGTCTCACCTTTAATTTATTTTCATTTTTCATTTATGTTGGGATTTTCTGGTGGTCTGTCACCAAAGTCATAAAAATTCAAAATAGAATAATATCCTCTGAAAGATGCAGAGAGTGGAAAATATAATTAGGTACCTAAATTTTCATATACAATGGCAGAGAAGGCAGAACAACCAGGACCTCCAGTGAGCCAAAGCACAAGAGGATCATACTCTGGACTCCCTTCAGACTCAAAGAAGTAATAAAACAGCTGCACATCATCCATGCCGCCCACTCCCACGTACCTTTATATAATTAAACCCATAAAATATATTATTCATGGACCATGGTCATCTTTTGTATTAATGTAAAGTACTTAACAGAGTAGAAAATAATAGTTATAAGAACTAACCCAGTTTCAAGCTTAAAGGGGAGGTCACCGCGAAAGCCGGGAAGGGTTTTGATGATATTGGATGATGATGATGCAACATTCATGTTCAAAAGAGTCACCAGAAGAAGTGCTTCTGGCAACATGGTGGTGATGATGTACTTGCTGCTACGCTTATCTCATGACATACATATATATGGAGGATGGCTCCTGTGAAGTTAGGGAACGTGCTATAATATAATGAACTTGGTTTTTTTCTCGTGCTATGAAGTGACTGGACAGTCTGAATATTAGGTGAATCCTCGTGATCATCAGCCAATAAAATTTGAATATATTTTGATATTTTGGGAATTGTATTTCTCTTGCGGCTTCTGTCCCTTTCAAATTCTTCAACTTGTGTATTTAAGATTTGTTTAAAATGAGAGACAAAGAAAGTGTGATTTTCAACTTGTGTATTTAAGTTAAAATATGGACTGATAATTGACGCACCTGGGTTCTTAGATATTCCAAATTTCAACAGGAAAGAAAAAAAAACACAGAAGAAGAAGAAGTGATTTTGGTTTTGCCAATCCAGCATCAACTAATGAACTTTGCTGTGAAGTGAACCAATTGACTTGTTAGAAAAAGGAAATGCAGGCAAAGAAGATAATAAGGGAAAAGAAACAAGGGATCGCAAGTTTCAAGATTCCTTACACCAACATTCCGTGGAGGCAGAAAATCCAAGTTTTTGTCGGACCACAAATATTTTTTATTTTTATTTTTATTTTTATTTTTATTTTTTTGTGGCATCCGCATTGCTTGCATGTCACAAAATTGAACGACTTGTCAGAGACCCATTAGTCAACCTACTTACTCTTCTCTGCTCCTCTCTTTGATTCATGTTCAAAGACTTCACAAAGGATCATCCAGATGAAGATTTTTTGCATGATTTTTGGTTTGTTTACTACATAGCACATTAACAATGAATATATATTAAATAATGGTACATAAAACTGATATTTGATTTATGATTTCATGTCATTCTTTGAAGAATTGACTCAAACAGACACAGAGGAAAGGCTTTACCAATCCAGCATCAACTAATGAACTTTGCTGTGAAGTGAACCAATTGACTTGTTAATTTTGGGATACACCAACATAAATTTTGACTACAGAGGGTAGTATGCGAACCACCGACTAATCATAGCATGACATTCTTCAGGTTTGTACTCGGGAGCTGTATGACCTGCTCCCTGAAAAATCAAAAAATTTAGTCAGCTTTTGCTGGAGCAAATTCTAGTATGGAAAATATTTAAGTTCATTCTTAAGCTTCTTGCCTTTATGGTAGCATATGTCAACTGGTACTTTTTGTACGTGTACTGCACTCTGTATCTAAAGGCCGAAAAAAAAAAGAAAAAAGAAAAAAGAAAAGAAAAGAAAACAGACATAACTATAAGATAATTGTAATCTGATTTTCTGACTAAACTCAATACAAAGTAAGAAAGAAGACGAGATAGATACAAACCCTGCAACCTGTCCGTCGACAAACCAAGGCTTCCAAGGACTGTCAACAGTCAAGTTCAGAGATTCTATCCAAGCCATAGTAGCCACATATGGAATATCCATGTCATGATCACCACTGTGAATATACAAGCTTTGTGTTCAGAAGAAATGGTAATGTGAGAATGAATAGATTGTGTGAGATTCTATTAACAGAAAGCTAAGCCAATGTTTGAATTCATGTACTTGAATTTTCCCTCTAATTAGAACACCAAATGGACTTTCTGCTTTGACTAAAACAAAAGAAAATTCGAAAGAGTTATCAGCATGCATATTCTACAATATATATAGTACCTGTAAACCAAAACTCTATAGCCTTGTTTAATAATGTTCTCATGATAGACAAGACTAGAGGAAACATCAGATGTATATAATTCTTGTAAGGTCTTATTGCATCTCTCCCATTCCGTAATGCTTCCCTGATTGTCATTTAAGATGAGCAAAATTAAAGTACAGTGATATATCATGAAAACTGGAAGAATATATTTAGAATGAACTAACTAATTACCTCCTGAATATGAAGAGCATCTTGGACAGTTTTGTCATTTTCCCAAATGGAAGAGTAGAGATAATTGTAACTCTGCATTAAAACAAGGAAGATAATCTGACTCAAGTTTACATTTAGTATAACAAACAAAAATGAGTAAGCCACAACCTACAGATAAGTGACTGTAGTGTGCATTGTGTATGTGTGCAAGTGTGCACGCAGCAGAGAGACTTACCCGACACCATGGCCTACGAAGTTGAAGAAAAGAAAGGAGGAGATTTACAGAGTCCTTATTGCTGAAATAGTTTCCGTTCCACTTTGATCGTGCTGATTTTGGCGACTCTATTATAGTACATGAAGGTTCCAATATATGTGCACTGTGTATGCCTTCGATACACTGCCAATCCAATTGTGAAGTCAGTATTTTTATCCTATTACTTAAAAGTGACAAGTAGTTGCAGAAACCAAAGATTTTGTTTTATTTCCACTCACCTCGTTGTAAAGTTCAAGATCCTCCACACATAACGTGTTGTTTAGATCCACATTGATATACTCTCCCTTGCAGTTTTTTTTAATTGACTTGCAAAATATAAAAATCACAACCAGATTTAAGAAAGACAGTCTTTTAGCAAGAAATGAAGTGAGTATGCAAGAGCACTGGGTACATAAAAAATAAAAAAAAAACCAGTGCGTATTTCACCTGGTATAGTTCATCTGATATAAGTGCTTTTAGGTAAGCAAATAACACTTTGTAATTATAATCTTTTTTTTTATCTGTCACTGGATTGCCGAGCACATATCCCTGCAGCCAATATACTTTTAAGGCCCACATTCATATGATGAGGAATTTATGAACTACAACACAATAGAAATCATTCAAATTATACTGGCAGAAAATGTACTTTGAGATTCATTGGGGGCACATGTTCATCTTGATTACCTACACAAATAGAAAAATAAATTAAAATCAATACCTCATGAAACTGTTTTTGCCTTCTTTGTCCATCTGATATATATTGAGGATGAAGAGGTAATGAATGAAATGTTCAATATTATTTTCATGTGAGACTGAATCAAAGGTTTCAGGATTTGACACTTTTCTCAATTCTTGGTAGCTGGAACTGAAAAAAGGTAAAACTTAAGAGTTACCAACTTACCATCTGATATTTCCTGAACAACCATCGGAACAATTATTCCTGAATAAGAATCTCCAGCAATATAAAGTGGATTATTGTAGAACTTCGGATGATCCATAAGCCACTGCACCCACAATAGTGAAAACAAAGATGTAGCTAAACTAGATGCAATAACATAATGTTCATTTCCAACAACAAATCATGTCAATTTTTGATAAAAAAAGCCGTTCTTAATCACTTGAAAGATGATCGCATGAACTAGACCTTATGCAGAAACCTCATAGGCAAGCGCATCATCTCACCTTTCTAAGAAATTCATATGTTTGTGCAGCTGACAATGTGTCATTGAGATTGCTATATCCTTCCCAATTTTTTGCATAGGAGAACCCTGTGCCCACTGGTGCGTCTAAAAATATTATGTTGGCAACCTGAAAGTTTAGGATATTGTTCTTCTCAATGTCATACGAACCTGAATAGTTGCTAAAGATCACATACAAAGACATAAAACGCGAAAACCTACCTTTGTCCATGAATATGGATTCAATTTTAATTTTGGTTTGTTGCCAATGGAATGTGCATAGTCAAAGGATAGTGGACCTACAACAAAGTATGTTTTAAATAGTTGGAACTTCAATGTGCAGAGTTACAATTATATTCTGTATATTAGTAAAAACTACACAGAATATACTTAGAAAAGCTAAACACTAATTAACTTTGTATGGCTTTCTATGGGTTTTGAGGCTCTTGGGCAAGGTTAGTTGCTCTGTAGGTTTACTTGTGTGCTTTGGCGCCC